GGGTACTTGGAGGCACAAAAAATGAGAATTTTCAGTATTTTGTTTGTTATTAAACGATGTTTTTTTACAAAAATATTAATACGGTATTATTATACAATGTTTTGACTTGAAAGTAACAAAAATTTCAGAAAAAATATTAAGTATTCTCAAAGTTATAGCTGTTTTTGTTGACCCTGTTTCAAAAAACGATTGTGGCGGTGACCATCATAATTTCTTAGAGATTCATCTAAAATCAATCAAATAAAAAAAAAGTTTTATAAATAGATAATCCTGGGCCTGATCGAAGGTTTCTTTTTTTGCAAAAAATTAACAAAATGGCAGCATCAGAAAAAAAATTCTAGATTTTGGGTAAAAAATCAACAGTTAATTGGTCTTAAAATTGAAATTTTTGAAAAAATAAAAATCCTTCACATTGGATTTACGTACAGAAATTCGAATTATTGAATTATTTAAACCCAGTCATCTATTTCTGGGCCATATAATAGTTCATCGGTCATTGTGCAAGTTTCCAAAATTTCCATTTGCTGTTGCCTACGAAGCATTCTGGCTTCCAGAGTGTTCTCGTTGACGCGCTGATCTGCCACTTTCACACGTGCAGCATCCAATTTTTCAGCATACCAATGAGAATTATACCCACAAATAGGTCCTAGGGTACCCATAATCAATAATAATGATTATGTATATTCATGCAATGCAATGCAATTTGTACGATAGTAGAACTAGTATTCACGGTTCTAGGCATATTTTTTACACTAGTTGGTTGAAGCTTTTAATTTTTTCTGATTATGGATTCAATCTTGAACTACACATCTTGAAAGTAAATTATTATTGCTGAGATCGTCGTAAATCGGTTTAAAAGCTTTAAAACATCAGAAGGTGAGGGAGAATAATCTTGAGTATCAGTATATCGAGCTCTCCACTTGCGTCAGCGCGCTGGTAATAGTCTAAAACTCAAAAAACTAATCATCGGATCAACTTGAAATTTTCAGAGAACATTTTCAAGTTCTTAATGAAATTTCAATACTTAATGAAAATGCAAAAAATAAAAAACGATTTTTTCAAAAATTCCAAGTACCCCTAACCCCTTAATACGCTCTCTTCGAATCACATTTGATTCGAGAATCCGATGTATGATCCGAAGGGCCACAGAAGTCGAAAAGATCGTGGCGGAATCTTCGAAGTTTACCAAGACATCGAGGTTCAGAAAATTTACCATGGATTTATATTCAGAACCATATGCAGAGTATGAAGATGATGGAAGGTCGAACTACCTGCCATACAGTGGATCTGCCGACGAAAACTGTCATTTATTCTAATTTATTAACCAGTTATTAATATAACTGGTATAATAATAATAATAACCAATTATTTGATTGACCAGTACCACAACACTGCTATAATCTGCTTTCCCACCATATGTTTATAACGTGTTCCCTGTATTTTTTTAAACTGTGAGATCAACACTGGGCAGGGAGTGTGTGGGTAATCAAGCAGGCTAGGCACCGTGGAGAAACAATATTAACTTGTCAGTTTCATTTCATAAAATTTTGTAATTAATAAATTGTTTATATTTTCATCCAATGGTTTATATTTATTTATATCCATAACTTTTCCCACAAATATATCAAAGTAATGGCCCGCTCCACTACACGAACGCGCACGGCGAATCCTGTTTTTGACATGCGCGAGGTTTGGTTTTGCTTGCAATAATTTAGTCTGCGCATGTTGCGAACAGATTCGCCGTACGGATTCGTGCAATGGAGCGGGCCATAATGTATACGATCATAATATCACGTAAAGAAATTAATACTGTCACAGTAGATAGTAATAATCATATTTAGTCTGAAACTGCTTAAATGTAGTTTCAAAAGTTTTATTTATGCAGGTTACCGTAATATACAACCGTCATGGGGGGTTATCTCTGAACAAATACGCTTTACCGTGTTTTGACATTGAGTATTGCCAAGCTTAGATTATAGATGGCTTACATTCGCTCAATTACAACAACGCTCGTTCGCGCATTTGACAGCCGTCGTACGAATGTGCCAATAACCTATATGTTGTTGCTAAATATTTCTGTTCTAGTGAATATTTAATAAATAAATTTAGTATGGTCACGTGCCAAGTTGTTTCAAATAATGAATATTGAATTGCACGTCTTAAGTGATGGCCAGGTATGTATGATGAGTTATATTTATTTATATAATGAAAATGTATAATAATAATACACGATGAAAATGTCAGAAGTCAAACACTGTCAATCAATTCAAGAAAGCATCCTAAAGTTCATGTTCTCCGGAGCCTAAATATGCCGGATTTGTACTATATGAATGTATTTTAATAATAATTATTTTAGAACTTGGTATATCAATGTCAATTCATAAAAATGATGTAGAGGCAGTGGCAGATTGTCGAAGGAGAGTAATCTTACTTCAGGTAACTAAATACAAGTTGCTATATATTTTATTTTGAATAATGTAGTTGTATCTTTAAATCAAGTATCTGTCTTTCTTGTAATAATTTATATAATAATATGCTTCTTGTTTAGGCTTCTTTGAGCTGTATTGAAGTGTGTGGATTAGACAAATCTCCTTTACGGGAATCATGAAAGAGTTTCCTCTCACACAGTCACGACTAGGATAGCATTCTGATGTAGAATCAGGCGATAATTCTGATAGAGGGTAAACAAAACAATCTAATAAAAAAACACGACAGTGTGCAAATCCAGAGAAAGGGCCAAGTAATTTTAATTCTAAATCTAAAAGAAAATAAGTAAGGACATATTCTTGCTTTGAAACTGTACAAAAAGTCTGCAAAGGTATCAAATGCATACATTTTATTCTGTTTATTGAAAAAACACTGGCTTTATAGTTTTTTTTATCTTTATGGAAGTTTTAATGTTAATGGATTCATCATGATCATAAAATGAGTAAATGTGATTTTTAAAAATCACTCATACACAGAAACTTTTAAAGATTTCGTCAAATGTAACTTTATTAATGATTAATTAGATAGCAAAGTAACTATTAAATGGAAAGATAATAAAGAAGAACATCTCGTAAATGAATTTTAATCCTAGGAATTTAGTTTTATCTCTATTTAGTTTCGAGTTTTATTTTGTTTGGGAAGTATTCGTTCTTTTTTAGAATTTGCTGTTCTTTTTATTCTTTAAAATTTTTGCATTACTTGCCATTCCTTCTAAATTTGTAATTCCATCGTCAATACTCCTGCGCTTTTCACTTCTTAGTTTTTAAGTTTTTAATATATTATTATTAGTCATTAAGTAATTAATATTAATATCGTTAATTAATATTAATAAGTTACTTTTCTTTAGTTTGTAGTACTTTAAAAATATGTTTGTAATATACTTTAATTAATAGTAGTCAGTTATTTCTGTTTAGTTTATATTTCTTCCAAAATATGTCTGTGATATATTTGAAAATATATTTTGTATTTCGTATGTTTTGTTCTTATTTCAAATATTAAATTTTTTTTAGATTTTTTGGCTGTAATGATTATATGTACAAATGTAGAAGTAATACCAGGGGTTAATTTACAAAATGAACATGTGCTGCCATCAATAATCTTAGCTCCGCACTTCAATCGATGAAACGTCAAATCGCCCGACATAGCTATCTATTTATACTTGTTTATCTATGGGCCGACCATTACTAGACCAGTGTTGCCATGTCTACAGTTTTAGCTATAGATTTGAAGTTTTTTTTGAAAATGTTCCCAGTTTTGCAGTTTTGGGCTCGAAATCTAGTTTTTTTGCTGAAGATGCTAGCGCCGTTTATTTTATTTGTAATGCAAATTGAGTAGCCATAAATAAACAAGTATCAATTGCTCTGTACAAGTACAAGTAGCAGTTGCACTGAACCAACTTCAATAAAACTACTATTGTTAAACTAGAAATAATGGTCATCGATTATTTTAATAGTATAAAATAAATTTTAATAGTTTTTCTACTAGGAAAAACTCTATAGCTCATGCTTAACAGTCAATGCAACAAAAAAACGGCGTATCTAGCGGCGAAAAGCGAAAGGCTTATTTCTCGTTAACGAATCAACCTTATCTGTTGTTAAATATTTTCTTTATTATTAGTTTTTTTATTATTTTATCCATCAGTTTATTTCTTTAATTTCAAAACAAGTTATTAAAAGAAATTTTGAAAGCACCAAAGTATGTTCCAAATTGGTTAATACACAAAGCCACAGGCACTAGCACATAAATATAGAAATCGCCTAGCTTGCCGACCGACTGTAAATACTTTGATTTTGTAACTAGTAATATTTATTTTACTTTAATTACATAAATTACATAGTATTTATAATAATTTAATATGGTTTTATTACGTGTTGAATGATTTGAGTTTAATTTTATAATAAATCGATTGATGATTTTTTGTTTTCTATTTCGCATATACGCGCATGCTTTGATTGGCGCGAACAATAACTCTACCAGGGCCCGATTAAAAAGAAAATTTCTTCTGCATTAATCAACAATAGATAAGACCTTCGACAAATCACTGGCAATGGTCAGATGATTTGTATTTTGCCAACGCCTTCAGTTTAATGTCAAATATTTCACTTGTTGTCCGTTTCAGAACTGTTGTAAAAATTATTAAAATAATAAAAAAAGGAAAAAAAAGTGTAGACACAAAAAATAATTTTTATCTTCCCGTAGAGCAAGTTATTGTAATCGTCCAAAAATCGAAATTGATTTTTTTTGCATTTCTCGACGTTTTGAAGGTTTCCTAATATTTTGGCATACCTCAGAAAAAATGAATGTGTGTGTGTATGTATGTATGGATACAATTTTTGGTCATGTTTTCGGGTGCAAGGATCAACCGATTTGAATGGTTAAAAAAACATTCGATTCCTATTGATAGGGAGATGTGCTGATTAGTTTTTGGCAAAGGCAAGTCCAGCAGTTACGGAGATAAAGAGCAAAGAGTGCAGAAAATAGAAATTGAGTTTTTGAGAGAACGGAGTATCCGATTTAAATGATTTAAAAAACATTCAATTAGTAATGATTGGGAGAAGTGGTTATTAGTTTTTGGCAAAGGCAGGCCCAGCCATTTCGAAAATACAGAGCTAATGTGCAAAATGTCTGATTTAAATGATTCAAAAAACTTTTTGCATGTTTTAACAAAATAATTGATTTTGGAAAAAAAATGTCTCAATTTTTTTTCAGAATTTTTTTTTTGTCAAAAATAATTCAGATTTTATTTTTAATTCTGACTAAAGTTCTAATATACTTTAAACAAATAATTCCAACTTTGCAATTCAGTTTATATAATTCTTATAAATATTAGACAATGTTACAATATTTATAATAATCTATATGAAAACATTCAAAGTTGAAATATATCTTCTGAATAATCAATATTTTAAATAAAATTATTGAAGTAAAACTTCTTTAGGCGCGATATGGGTGTAAAAATTTCTTTAGGCTACACGGGTGTAAATCCGTACAAATGCAACGAAAACGCCAACGTGTAGTTGAACACTACGACGCCGTAAGCGCTGATGTCGCGAGTATCCACTCCCGTCATGTCATGCGTAAGTCGAGCGCTAAACCCTATATGAACTTGCATTAATTGAATCATGTTTTTTATGTTATGTCCTCATGGAATAAGACTTTTCTTAGAGAATAAATGTGTCATGGAATATAATAAATTTATACTGAATCTCGTTGAAGACAAAATAATATCTACTGCCACGGATATTTATGTAGGTTGCCATGCGACAGATCAACAATCATACATTCGTCAGCAGTTTCACAAAAATCGGTTATTGATACCGCGGGTTTGCCGTATGAAATAATTTTAGTTCTGAATAAATTTTACATTATAACAACTAATATTGATGTAAGTGATGGCTTAGCTAATGGTTGTGTAGGAAAATTAGTGTACATAGAACGTGGCGATAATGATGAACTTCTACGTTTATGGTTTGAATTTCCTGGTAAGATAGGTAACAAAATAAGAAGAAAGCTGCACATCATATTCAAACTCCTAATATTAGTAGGACAGCTGTGCCGATTCTCAGGAGATCTTCATCTATTCCAATGAATAGAAATAAAATCATATTTGTCAAAAGAAATCATTTTCCTTTAGTGTCTGCTTGTGCACTCACAATACACAAATCACAAGGTGGTACTTTTGATAAAATTGTATATGAATACAATAAAACATATAATCAGCAGCTTCTATATGTTGCATTATTACGAGTTACCAGCATTAATGGATTGTTAATCATTTCAAAAAATTTTATCATGGAAGAAAACGGCCAGCAGGATTAATGAACTTAAAAACTGAATTCCAAAGACTTTCAACTTGTAGATTAATAACACAAGAAGAAAAATTGAGTGAGATAATAAGTTTGAACGACATTTCATTGTTTTCCTTTAACTGCCAAAGTTTACGAGCTCATTTGCCTGATCTGCAAGATAAAGTGCTACAACGTTGTACGTTTTTGTTATTTTCGGAAACTTGGATTAATAATGAAGAACGAATTAATATTCAGAACTATTACTGCGTTACTCAATACAAACGATCGGACTCAAGAGCAGGTGGTGTAGCTGTCTAATGTCTATTATTCATGTTCAGATACTCTTCATAATGCGACTCCTATGCAGTTTCTTGCGCCAACGATATTACTGGATATTTCTAATGAAATTACACAAGTAGGTGATATTACACACACAGAATCAAACATTGATTATAGTCGTCCTTTACATTTCTCCCAATAAAAACATATCAAATATTATTAAATTTCTTCATCAGCAGTTACTTCATTTTTCTTATGAGGGTGCAAAACTTTTAAACACTAATCACAACGAGATACCATTAATTCTTGCTGGAGATTTCAATGTCAATTTTCGTTCAGAAGAATCTCAACCATTAATTGATTTTTTAAATAATAAATTTAATTTAACAATGAATAATTCTCCATTTGAATCAACCACAAGATATGGCACGACTATTGATGCAGTTTTCTCCAGAAATGTACATAGTTTACAAAGCAAAATTTATGTCTCTCATTTTAGTTATCACAAACCTATTATATCATATATGAAATATGATAGCAATTAATCTATCGATGTTGTTTTAAACTGTGTTATTGATGTTATGTGATTATTAATAAATGATTTTTAAAATTTAAATATGATGTTTTTTTTATTTTTATCTTAATTGCCTACTCATACAATATTAAAAGTTTTACTTCAATCGCGTGTGATCCTTACGCGCACTCTTTTTTTATTGCATATTGTTCCGTTGTTTCGTTTAATACTCAACTAGTTTATGTTTGACTCAAATCTACCTTTATTAATAATAACATAAAATAATAAATAAATAATGAAATATACAATATATTGTGTACGCTACGATGAAAAACCTATATTCAGGAATAATCGCTTTTTGATAGGTAACGATAACCAACGATAACGATGTTTTTGATGGATGATTATAATAACACCGTTAGCGATCATAATTGCTTTCAAACTGTATATTTTTTTTGCAAAAATACCATTAATGTTAGTTGCTATATGTATTCTATATAATATTACCATCATTTAATGATAAAGCTGTAGGTGTACAGTTTTTTACTTTGATATCTACAGTTTTTTTCTGGCCTATCTACAGTTTTTCTCTATGGCGGATCTGTCAACACTGACAAAACATACCATCCCAGAACAAACACATAAATACGGTTCGGCATCAGTCAAATATTTGACTAAAGTCAGTTTCAGTGATCGTTATTTGTCGTTTACAAAAAGCATTTATTTTATTTTGGCTATTTAACTTGTGGTTTTCGTTGTTTTTATTCGTTTCATGTAGCATTTTTCAAAATGGATGGTGTAAGTTTAGAGAAATTCGAACAAGAATTGTTAAAAAAGCAGAAGCTGTATCTGTCGCTTATACAACCTGTAATACAAGAATTGGTGGACGAACATAATGTGAGTTCTACTGATTACTCGTAGATATTGTCTTTAATTATTCACTCATTTACAAATTTCAATATAAGGACGAGTATATTAAAGTTTTTTCCTGGGAAGTATTCAACTTACACATACACTGGATATCTTGGAACCACATTTAATCTGTACGGTATACCTTCAAAATTCTATAATTTATTCTCAAGAACACTCTATATATGTAATCACAATTACTACCGTTTACATATACTTTAATACTTCATTTTCAATCTTCAAAGGCTCAAATAACACTAATAATCAGCTATAAAAGGACTTGTGATGAAATAATTAAATGTGTTACGACAGTTTGACGAAGTATTACATTTATAAAATGCAAGTTCATTTTTTCTGGCTCGTTTTTTTAAGCTTTGTTTTGTATATCCAATGCACTGCAGTTTATTTTGTATATCATATGTTACACTTTTCTGAATCTTTTATAAATAAATTATTATTAAAATTATATTAAATTAAATATAATAAATTATTTTAAAAAATAAATAATTATTAAAAAAAGTTCAAATAATGCAGTGTGTTGCAAGTGATTATGTTTAACGGTATTAAATTATTTTGTAATGATTTAAATAAATTCGGTATATAAGGAATACATTCATTTTATATCTTTCAGGTGCATTTAATAAAAAATTTAAATTTGAAATTTGTATTTAGTTTTTTGATTATGATTCAAATATAGTATATATATATATATATATATATATATATATATATATATATATATAATGCTTAAATATTTCCTTTTCTACAGGAGTTTATGAAAAATTTGGAAGCATGTGAACCACCACAAACAGAGGATGTTTCTACCGTAGGGAGACCAAGAAGAAATGCTGCCAAAAGTGCTTCAAATAAAATTTCCACTCAAGTAATTGTTAATTTGTGTTATTTATATTTTATCAAAATATTATTTTTTGTTAAATTAAAAGTAATATTTATTCAAAGGCACATCTAAAAATTACGAAACTTAGAAGACCTGATGATAAAGATGTAACGGGTAATATTTATGACCTACCTGATAATAAAACATCAATTTTAGAAAGTTGTTCTAATATCACACAGGTATGTAGACTAGAGTCAAACATTTTTAAATATGATTTTTACTTCTATGTGGTCACTGATCAATTTAGCTTTAATGTTATCAATTATGCATGCAAATTTTCTCTAAATTATCAATAAATTATCTCTAATTTAACATTTTGTGTTCACTTATAGGATATTTCAGTTCAAATTTTAAATAATGAAAGACCAGAGAATTCTGAGAATCCTGCCATTTCATCTGATGAAGATGAAGAGGCTATGCGTGCTCCTGCAATAAAAAAAAGAGGTAGGATATAAATAGTGATAACTTTTTAACAAGCTCTAATCTGACTAAGTAATATTCTGACTAAAGTAGAAATATTTACTTTTAGTCTTATGATGTAGGAAAAATGCCTTATTTAGATAATAACATGTATAATATTAATATCATCTAATAAAAATATTTCAGTCTAAAACTGATCGTGTCTCTGGAAATGTATTCAACTATTTATTTTTTTTTTTTATTTAGGTAGGAAAAAAATTCGAAAAATTAAAGCTGAAAAATTATCAGTGGCTATAAGTATTAAAGAAGAAGTTGAAGAGGATGCTCAAACAAATGAACAAACACATGTAATAGAAAATATTGTCAATGAAACTCTTACCATAAATGATCATCAAGAAATAAATGAGGATAAAGGTATATATTCTGACTAAATTGATTTTATAACACAAAACAATGTTTTTTTTTAATAAACCGCTTTATTAATGTATTTAGAATTACCCAAAAACGATTCTGGTTTATCTGTTTATCAAGACGCTGTTACTACTCAAGTTATTGCAGCAGAATCAAGTCCAAATGAATTAATTAATTTATCACCTCCCTTGGAAGATATAAAAGTTCAAAAGCATATAAAAGATGATAAAAAATTATCTGACAAGGTGGAAGTTGTAATAAATAGAGATCCTTCTCTTGAACTTCCAAAAGAGGTGAGGAAGCATGGAACACATTCATTATGTATATAAATATATAAATAAATAAATCAATATATATATATATATATATATATATATATATTGAATTAATGCTTGTTTACCAAGAATTTCGTTTTTATCAACATATATATAATACCACATTTTTTAGAATTTGCCAAACAACTCTGCACCAATACAAAGCAATGAAGAACCAAAAGAAATTAATGCAAATGCTACATTTATGATTACTCCAAATCTTGATATTCCCATAGTTATAAAGCAAGAACTAAAAACTCCTGAAAGACAGTTCATTCCTGTTATGGATCAAACAATTGTTATGGAGAATTTACTAACACCTGCAACCACAGTAAAACCACATCCTTCAAGAGGTATACATCATAAGCTATTAACAATAAGTTTGGTTATTATCTATTTATGTGTACTTTGTAGAATCTCCATTGATTACGGATGATGAATCCATCTCGGGAACTTCTCCCCTGGAAACAGTTGCAGTAAACGCTCCTGAGCCCAGGTGTGTAATCCTTTTTTGCATGTTAATTTTTTATATTGATGAGCTCTAATTCAATTTTTTGTTGTGGGAGTTGATTGTGGACACAAGAGATCGAGAACTAATATATTCAAATAAAAAAAATGCAAATAGTGATATTGATAATGATTACTAAGTAAAAATGAGCTACTTGATTATAATTTAAAACAAAGACTTTTTTCTTATTTTTTATATTGTCATACTAAAAACTTTAATACTTTTTATAGTTATAATAGTTTTATATTTCCATTAACTTCTAGAAGAAGATGTTAGTATTTGCCAGAAAATCCTATTTGCTTTTTTTCTTGACATTTCAATTCCTTCTGAATCTGTTGAGACCAAAATTTGATAAAAGCTTTGATAAAGGGCTTTCAATCTCGAACTAAAATCTAAATATCGCTTGTTGATTTATACTGGTGCCAAATAAAAAAAATGAATAATTCTATTTTTATTATAATTTGTTATCAGCAATTTAGGCTGTTTATGAACACTTGTTATGACGTTATGGGGAGATCCACTTTTTTATAATTTAGACTTCGTATTGTTTTAAAGTGAGTTTAAAGGCCACTTGTAGTTTACCCCTGTATACTTTATTTTTTTGCGCACATTTTGCATTTAGCAACCTCTCCATTTTTTTTTAAATAACAATCAGAAGTTTTGTTCTATCTTTTTCGGTGCCCCTTAAATGCATTCGTTTTTCAAGGAGTATATCGTACACTTACCATGTCCATATAATTCACATGACATATGTATTAATATTTCACATGAAATTAATCAGTATTTAAATATCGTTCTATTCTGACTTTCATTCAAATATATCTATACATATAAATAAAATTGAAGTGCAATTGGAATTGTATTGGGTCATATTTTGGTAAAGAATTTTTTTTTTAAATATTCACATTAAGTACACACAATCTATAGGCACCACAAGACAATGGAATGAAAATTGAAATTTAAAATAAAAAATATATTTTTTACTACTACACTACGGTTGATCAAACAGCAAAATCAAATCAAATAATATTTGAATATAAACTATTCCTAAAAAGGATATACAATAAAAAGAAATATATCGTTTCGTTTGTATATTATGTTTATAAACCATTAATAGCGAATTAGATATGACACGAGATGTAGACGTAAACCATAAACAAACCTTTAATGTTGCCAAACTCGGTATGTGTTTTACCGGTTTTTAATACTGAACAAAAATTGACTCGCATCCTAGAATTCATGATTGATGATTTTGCCAAAACGGCTGCACCGATCACAAAAATTTAGAAGCCATTCGACGTAATTGTCAAAGAACTCTCGTTTATTAAATTTTGCGACATTCGGCCAAGCCGTTTCTTTATAATTAACTGTTCTTTTTAAAAAAAAATGTCGAAAATTTTTATTTTGGGTATTGTGCTGATTAGTTTTTGGTAATGATCGGTTGGGTTGTTTCTTCGTAACTAAATATTATAAAAAAGCGTTTTCAATGAAGACTAACATGGTGCAATTAGTATGGTAATGAAATATTATGGTGAAAAGTGTTATAGATCTACGAAAAGTTGTTGAATTATAACAATTTCACCGCGCTTTTAGAACGTACAAGCGCATATTTGTGTCTATTTAAAAGATATCAATTGGAAATAGCATTGATTAGTTTTTAGTTAAGAGAAAACTTTATTTTTGAAATAAACTGTTGAAAATTTTATCTAAATCTCAACTTTTATTAAGTTGATCATTTATATAAATGCTTCTTACAACTAATTTTTGTTTACATTTGCCACACTTGATAGATATTCCCAATTTATTTGGAAATTTCTTCTTATTGTTAGTAGATTCTACATCTACTAATATCAAATCATGTTTGTTATCTTTTTCATGTATTATATTATTAACAATGTCTACTCATTATTTTGCATATACAGAGATTTTATTCCATGTTATTAATAGTTCTGCAACTGATTTGTGTTTAGGTCGCAAGTGAAATCAAGAGTCCATGCTTTGGAGAAAGTTATTGCCTCTGAACAAAAAATGCCCTCGGCTAGGGTTACTCGGACCAAAACCCGCATGAATAAGGAAAATTACAGCTACATTCAAATATGGATGCTTTAAATGCAAAACCAACAAAAATACAATCTGCTCAAAAATTAACATCTACCATAAAAGTGGCAAGTGTCTCTAAGATAGCTACTCTCTCTGCAAAGAAATTCATTCATCAAAAAATACGACTCCACAAATCGTTAAGAATACCAAGCTCGTATTGCAGTCCACACAAAAGTCGAAGTCACCTGCCAAAGATGATTCTTTGAAGAAGCAGGCTAGGGAAGAGGAAGCTTTGAAGAAAAAGGAGCAGATGCTCCTAGAAAAACAGGAAGAGCGGAAACGGTAAGTTTGTGTAAATTATTAACTTTCTGAAGGAAAAGTCTGTTTTCACCAGAAAATCCGGTTTGCTTACTTTGTGTTCTGGGCGCTTTCAAGTCATTCTGAATTATTTGAAACCAATCGTGCTGATTAGTTTTTGGCAAAGGTCGGTCGGTTCTATTTTTCGTAATCAAATGATTTTTCGCGTTTTTAATAATACTTAATATAGAGGTACAATTCATAGGTTGCATTACATAGTGCAGTGCATTACCATATGCTGATACCATGGATTATTGAATTTTCTGTTTTAACACTGTAAGATTAACTAATTAGAGTACTTTTTCTTTATAATTTTTATTTTCATTTCTAGTTTTTGAATTTTATTTGTAGTTTCCACTGAATGAAAGCTTGGATTATGGCCGAAACGTATGGATGTAAAATAATTTTTTGAAAGAAATTTGTTTTTTATTCCTGTTATGCCCTAATATTATGCTTTGGTAATATATATAAGGTCGATTTGAAGGTCACTTAGGTACATATGATTTTCGAATTTTAGGAATCCAAATAAGATACTTTGCTGAAGAAACCATACCTCTAAAATGAATTCTGATGACGGTGGGTTCAAGGTCATACATTTGGACGCGATTGGGGCACTCTAAATGGGTCAAAATGGAGTTTTTTAAATTTTAACTTTTATTTAGGACATCAGAATTCATCTTAGGGGTTTCTTCAGCATAGTATCTTATTTTGATCACTAGAATCCGAAAATCATATATGCCAAAGCGACTTTTTTGACTCATACCAATCGACCCGCTTTAATATATATATGTATATATATATATATATATATATATATATATATATATATATATCAATATATTTATTTTTTCAGCAAACGTCTAGAGAAGGAAAGATTAGCTCAACAATCAAGAGAACAACAAGAGAGAGAAAAACAAGAAAAAATTGCGAAAGAAAAGGAAAGGAAACAAAAATTGATACAAGAGAGAGAAGAAAAGGCCAAGGAAGAAATGCGATTGAAAAAATTGCAAGCGCAGCAAAGGGCGCAGGAAGCTGAAATGCGAAGAAAAGCAGAAGAGGCAGCAAGGCTTGAAAAATTGAAACAGATACAGGAAGAACAGAGAAATTAGAGGTATTCATAAAATCAGACATTGTTACTTTCATTTGAAATTTTAACTTTTTGATGACCGCCCCAATTGTCTCAGAGGGTTTTATCAGAAGTGCGTCCAAACACTGAAAACAAAAATTTTCTTTGATCTTACCAACTGAATTGCATAAAGTAAATTTTAGTTTTGAATTATGTTTTGCGGAAGGTAAATTTTTAAATATCGAAAATTATTCGGATTCTAATTTTAATTCTAACTAATATCTTAAAGCTCACGATTACATGAGTGACTATTCATATTCTGTAAATGATTTATTTACAGTATATAAATACTGTAAATAAATCATTTTAACATTGTTTAATTTAATTTATATAATTCTTATAAATAGAAATATGATATAAGGTCTTTTACTGTAACTCCGTTTAATTTTTATTTATTTACTTTTCATGTAATCATAAATAAACGTAGTCATCCAATTTATAAGCTTTTATATTTTGTCTTTTCATAACGGTATGGGAAGTTCCAGAATATTGCCTTAAGGCACCATAAGTTTCTTATGAGTTGTTAATTTTTACCTTATACCGCATTGTCATAATATGGATGGCGTTTCGATGAAACATTATCTTGTATTTTCTTTTGTATTTTAATCAAAATTATCTACGAATGTTACTAGATGTTATCGTTAATAACAGTTGTGGCAAAAATTGAAATGAAACAAAAATATCTTTTGTTTTGAAATTTTTCTGAGTTCTGGAATTATTTTTAATTGCAGATGCAAGTGAAGCTTGCAGCAGAGCAAGCTAGATTAAAGGCACAAGAAGCAGAAAAAAAGCAACAGCTTCAAACAAATGCAAAATCAGATGCTACATTTGTACATCCGAACCCAGAAGAAAGCATATTGGATTATAGCATTGCCCCAGTAGCTATGGCTGATGGTTTTGAAAATCTTCAATCGGATTATTCCACTGATGAAGATGAAAAACCAACAAAGAATAATAAACAGAGGCCTGATTGGAGCAAACGTAAATTAACTTTTGATTACTTTTGCATTTACCCAAATTTTCAAAATCTTGATAATTACTTAGTATTGTAGTTAATTCTGTTAACTTTGACTGTTCGATTATTAGTTTATAAAAAGAATATATGTAATGTAATTATATTTACCTTTATAATAAAAATTTATATTTTTTCAGCTGAAGCACGGCAAGCTGCAATTATAAATCAAGCAAGAACGTCAACAAAATTAGTAGATCTGTTGTTTAATGTGAAAGCGACCACACCGGATTTGAGAGTTATATTCCCAGGAATTAGCAAAGACAAATTAAATCGAAGATCTAGTGCTGTCTGGAAGACACCTCCTAGGTACTCAATGCTACCTCGATTTTAGAGATATTTTAAATTTGTATATAGTCAATTTTAATATTAATCAATTATTTTAACCTTTTTAAATCTTTGTTCATGTTTATATAATATATTGTTATTGTGTAAGCATGTGTCACTACAACTATTTTGTAGTGTTGATTGAATCATAGTGATATTAATTTGTTACATTTCAAATATAAGATCATATTTTCCTTATTTAGGCATTTTAAGCAATTTTTATTAAACTTTTAATAGAAAAATTTAATTCTGTTTAATGTAAGTGTAATTCATGAACATAGTTCTATCACTTGGAATGTATTTTTACATGCAATAATTCACAAACCTTTTCGAGAATTCATAAAAATGAATATTGAAAATGCTTGCTTGTATTTTCATGATAATGTGAAATTCATTTTAATAAACTTCCGTTTAATAACTTACATGTAATCGTCCAAAAATCGAGAAATGATAATTTTGCATTTCTCGACGTTTTGAGGTTTTTTTTTGAACATTCTGGCATACCTCAGAAAAAATGGATGTGTGTGTGTATGTATGGATACAATTTTTCGTCAACGTTTTCAAGCGCACGGATCAACCGATTGAATGGTTCAAAAAACATTCGGTTTCTATGATAGGGAGATGTGCTGATTAGTTGTTTTTGACAGGTCCAGTAGTTATGGAAATAAAGAGCAAAGAGTTCAGAAAAAGAAATCGAATATTGAGAGAGAACAGAGCATCCGATTTAAATGATCTAAAAAAACGTTCAATTAGTGATGATTGGGAGAAGTGGTTATTAGTTTTTGGCAAAGGCAGGTTCAAGCGGTTTCGGAGATACAGAGCTAAATGTGCAAAAAATGGAGTTTTTGATAGAACTAAGCGTGATTTAAATGATGAACTTTCTGCTTGTTTTAACAAAATAATTGATTTTGGAAAAAAAATTGGTTTCAAATTTTTTTCCAGCAATTTGCCTTAAGGCACGATGCCACACACTCCACTAGTTTTTGTTTTTATTTAATAATACTATTACCAACTCTTGTTAATGTTCTACTTATTTGTAAGATACTTTATTTATATTTTGTGTATAATAAAATACATAAATGCTCATATGTTGCCTTTGATTTGATGTGACGACAAAGTAATACAAGTTGAATAATTTTTTTTTTGTTTTATTGCTGTTGTATTACAACTACATTGTTTTTTGTATAAAAGGCAGAGACCTAGATAAGGAATTGGGCAGAGATGTTTTTATAGATTTAAAAAGTATTGAATTAAATGTGGGTTTGTTTTATTTTACTTTATCACTTCACTTTGGCCCTGAATTTTTGTTGAACATAAATGATTACACTTTAGATATATTATTATAAATAAAGGCGACCATACCTCCCGGTTAGGCCAGGACGTCCCAGTTCCAACTTGTGTGTCCGGATTGTCCCGGGTTTTCGAAAAAGTATTGGTGTGTAGCGTGAATCTTCACGATTATTTAATATATAAAATTAGAACTACTCATCAAGTATCTGAAAATGTTATATACAACGAGTACGCTTATATTAAATAATATGTATATGAATGAGAAAATTTCCGAAAATAAAATTCCAAATGCGAGTTAAAATAGCTTCTCGCATTAATAATTTCGAACTTTTATTTTCAATTTTACGAAAATTAAAAAACATTCTGAAAACGAACGTTTTTTTACAACTCATAACTCACGCGTGCAGTACTGCCTGTACAATTAATAATTAAATTCCTTTTATGGTTCTACTAATTTTTCAGGGCTCGCCCGTAGGTAAGCGGTTTTAAGAGCGACGGGACTTGTTTCAGGAGGCCCGGGTTCGATACTCACTTCGAGCAGCCTGTTGTCAGGCAACATTGACAACGATTTCACTAGAAAATAAAGATAGCAAAGAGTTCCAAGTGAAAATAGCCCTCACCCGGCCATTGTTGCACCATACTTGCCCTATGACAGAGATTGTAAAAAAATTATCATACAGAGATGTGACAACTGTTTGGGTTGCCTGTAATCTGTAATAAAACAAACGTAGTTTGTAAGATATTAATCACAACAGCTCATAGAACCCATAAGTTCTGATCACTGTTCAAATAAAATTATAAAAAACTAATTTTTCAAAATCGAGAAACCGAGCGTTATGGGGACACCTCGGCTCATTCAGGCGACGTTTCCGCCGCACAATCTCGCGGAGCAAACAATAGTTAAGAAAATTGCAAAAACAAAAAAAAATTTTTTTAATCATTACAAAGTTCACTTCAATATGATTGTAATAAAAAAAAAAAACTGATCCGATCAGCACCTCCGGAGATAATTAATTTACCGCATATGATGTTCATAGAAATTGAGCAAAAAATCCATATTTCAATCGTAAATATTTACGTAAAAATTTTTTTTCAGCAAAATCCTGAAATGCGTGTCAAATGATTTTATGAATAGTATCTGTAAATAAATTTTCAGACAATTCTAAAATGTCAAGGTTAATTGGTTTAACCAGTTTAACTTTAACACAATCTTGTGTGTCGTACCTTATACAAAACTTGTTTTGCGCCATCTAGTGATGTATTGCTAGTAATCGATATCATACACCGCTTCATGTTCAAATTAAAAATAATGGATAACTCCATCGTAGATAAAAGATACATCATTAAAAAGATTATTACCTTCCATGAAATGCATACATGGCATATAAAAAATAATCTAGTAAACCCATTTACCTGACCACCGTTTGTGAGCCACTTTTACATAAAACTAGCTGTAAGTGGAATTCTGTCTTAAGGCAATTAAGGCATCGTGCCTTAAGGCAAATTGCTGGAACTTCCCGTACCAAAAATTATTATTTTTTTAAAAACGATTGACATTTCTAAAAAAAATTTACTTCGAAAAAATACGATTTTTAGAAACTATAAATTGGACAAAAAATTACTTTTTTTTGAAAAAAATTTTTTTTAAAAAAATTTTTTTTTAATTTTTTTTTGTTTTTTTTTTTGAAATTTTTTTTTTTATTTTGACATATTGTGGAAGATCTGAACTTTCTTTTCAAAGCAATCGTACTGCTTTAACTGCATAGGGTCAAAATATAAAGCGCGTAAGCGCCGCGTCGCTGTCTAACGCATAAGCATTGGTACGGAACCCATAGGAATGTTAACAAAATGTATACTTATTGTTAAAATCTCTATAAAATATTTGATAATTTGATGAGCATATGTCTAATGATCATTTTTGACCGCCAAATGGCTTATTTTTTTACTTTTCCTCCATATCTCCGAAACCGCTAGAGCTACCTTCATAAAAATTTATCGATTCTTAACCTTGTCAATACAAGTGAAATGTTTTTTGAATTATTCAAATCGGACGCTCCGTTCTCTCAAAAACTGAGTTACCGTTTTCGGCACTTTTTGCCCCGTATCTTCGGAACGGCTAGACCTGCCTTCACCAAAAACTAATCAGCACGTCTCCTTATCAATACGAATCGAATGTTTTTTGAATTATTCAAATCGGTTGACCCGTGTTCCCGAAATCGTCGACGAAAATTTGTATCCGCACATACATACACACACATACATACATACATACACACACACACACACACATACACACACACACCCACACACACATACATCCATTTTTTCTAAGGTATGCCAAAATGTTCAGAAACCTCTGAAACGTAAAGATATATAAAAATTTTCATTTTCGATTTTTTTGCGATTACTATAACTTACCCTACGGGAAGTTAATAGTAGTACTTAGTAGTAATAATAATAAATCAAAATAATACAATTTTTTATACTAATATTGTACATTTTTAAGATCTTATCGTGTATTTTTATATTTAATGGCCTTCTTCCAAGATCACTTTTTGCCGAAAATTACTAATTTTCACATTCTATCCTTAGAATATATCTCTTAAATCTTCATAATCGCATATGCGATAAAAAATCAACTGCTTATATTGTCTTTTTGGTAAAGGATATTTTTATTGGTAGATCATATAAAGTTTATATCTGATTCCAAAACATATGAAGGGATTTATCATTCATACTTCAATTATATATAATTGAATCCCTTCATATGAGATAATTATAATTATCTCATATGGCAAATATAAGATCATAGATATAGAAAAATATGTAGTTTTAAATAGAACTTATTTCCCTAGCTATATTTGAAAAAAAAATGCAATTTTACACATTGTAACATTCTGAAAATATAATATTATCTTATTCCATCCTATTTGCTTTATTAAATCTGAATAAAATATCGTTTGAATATCCATAGTATGATTTATTATAATTATATTTGTAAAGTCTTATTGTTGTTCTATAATGAATAATTAGCATTTATGCCTGTCGCTTACATATGCAATAACGGTCAGGTACTTTTCTATAGTCATATATAAAATAAGATACAAAGAAATGAATGAATAATAAGTTTGCAGTGATTTTACAGTAGTAAATATGAAATATACTTTACAAGAATATTAAATTAACAGTTAATACTTCAATCATCTTAAAACATTGGGTGACTACATATATTTACAAATTATATATATATCTATATATATATATATATATATATATATATATATATACGAGTATGCCTATCTCATATATACATTATTAATATAAAAATGAAAACAATAAGCACATTATGTTTTAATTAGTAATTGTTAAATAAATGGCATATTACTCTTAAATTATTGAAAATGTAATAGAAAATATTTTCTTAATTTTATAAACTTGCTTACAGTCGATATAACATAAAATAAATTTATTCCTTAACATATTATACTATTTCTCTAGTGGCTTCAGCAGGTATATAATTATATACATTATCAAGAAAGATATTCTGCAAATGAACAAACACTAATTACATGTGATCAAATGATCATAATATTAAAAATTTAAATTTTCATGCCAGATAATAAAATCCAATTAATTTTATAATAACTATAAATAAAAATTCATATTATATTTACATACATTGTCATTTTATTAATATTGGTAAATTTTAAAATTGAC